TGGATTTCATACTCTATCACACAAAAAACCGGCCAAATAGATTATTTTGCATTAATGCACACATCTTAAATTACCCAACGTGATATATAGGTATTAAAATTGTATTTTCATGTTCTTTTAAAATATGAAGATGCAAAAGAAAAGGACATGAATGAGGTGAAAGTAAATTGAAAATGGCTGAGAGTCACGGGATTTTTCGGAAAATTCGCGATTTCCAACCCAAGAGGCAGGATTTATAAGCGCGTATAATGTCGACATTAAACAAATTTTCCTTCTTACCTCTACGTGGTGCACCCTGGACTTCTGACTTCGACCCCTCTCACAGTACTCACCTCACCTTTTCCCTACCTTTGTATTTTAAACACTTCTGTCCCCCCTCCCCTCTCGACATTTTTTCACTTTGATATTCCTCCTCCTCTCTATGAAGCCTGAAGTCAATTTAAGGGCTAATGATAACCTTCAAGACGCCTGCCATTTGATACACATTCCTTCTTGTATATTCAAAAAAAAATTAAAATTACATCCAATGAATACAACAATAAAATTGCATAATAAAAAGAGGTCAGTAAGTTGCTATTAGGGGCTCATCGAGTTAGATTGCACTTGCACATTTCTGTCTTCAAATTTTCAAACTCAGCCGTAAAACTCTTGCCATGAGTAAGATTTTCCTATAATGAGGAAGAAATATATGATTTTCTATCAAACTATTTAATTTCAATTTTGACTGACTTCTACTAATAATTTTATGTTTATAATGATTCTAGCTTAGTAAATTTCAAACCTCCTGCTCCTTGCAGTGAAAATCTGCAGCTTGATCCTCGCTATTCATATACGCTGCCCTTAAAGGAGAATTTCGGCTGATGATCTGTTGAAGTAGTTTGATATTCGATAATGATCTTGAAAGCGGAGTTTCAGGGACATATTCCAAGGAATTTATTATGAAGCGTTGATAATTAAGTTTGCCTGGAACAGAGAGACATTTTCTTAATGATGTGTGATTGTGGTCTTCCATTTCTGGTAATACAGTTTGAACTAAATCTCTGCCTCCTATAGCACACAAATTTAAATTATAACCATAAAAAGGCAACTAGTTTAATAGAATCAGCATACCAAGGAGACAAACAGCGGTTGTTTTATCACAACCGAAACACAGTGTTACGTCGGAGAGTTGTGAATTCAGACTCGACGATAATTTTGTAGAGTTTTTGGTAAAAAAGGGAATTTTCATCATTACGACACGTCTTACAGGTGGACCACCAATTTTAAAACTGAAATGAGTACCAATCGGAATAAACGAATAGTAATAACAATCAATGTACTGCTTACTATGACCTGAATGAATGAAGTTATTGCATTAGTTTATTATAATGGGGCTGACCCTATGACCTCAATTAGAGGTTGTCGTTAGTAAAGTTGGCTTTTGAAGCGGATTGCTACCCTAGTAAAGCCTTGACAGACTCAGAAATCTTTAATGCAATATCTATCTAAACTAGCTAAGCTACAGCTAGGCTAGTAAGGAAAGAGACGTATTATTGAGAACACGCTTATTGGAATCATGAAATCGGCAAATACGAATAGTTATCAAATAATTCTAACATAATTATATTGAACATTAATGGCTAAATATCTCTGAGCAGACCACTACGTGTACCACCACACACTCCAAATCCTGGCGTGTCCCACACTTTACACTAACAGTTATTGTGTTTGGAATATGGGTAACTGATGACAAGTATTTTGAAGTCCTAGGCTCTAGTGGAATCTAACCATTTGCAATAGCAAACTATAAATGAATGAAGGCGGCCACTAAACAAAATTAACAGATCGATGAATGCGTGGTTTCGACTTCCAAATAGTGATGGCCAGGTTTCAGCAACTCCTCCTTCATCTTTATAAACATTAATAATTTATAACAATACAAAGGGTATATCTACCAATACTATGTGCTTATACAGCTCACGATGTAACCTTCGTCTACAAACGCAAGAATTAGAACTGATTTGAGAAGTAAATGATTAGAAAGATGCAAAACAACTTCTCAGTCAGTAATTCTTAAAGACATGGTCCTAAACTAACATAACACACATATGAGTGTCTGGAGAATGAGATAGCAACGAAGCCAAAATCTTTTCAGGAGTGGAGTAAGAAGTCATACATTGCGTATAAATTACAATATGAGCTACTACTTAATAACTATTCAGTAGAGAGTTAATACCAACCCCTTCCTTTAGTTCAGAGTTAATGCCAAGGGAACAGACCATCTTTGTTAACATTGATAACGAACGAATAAAAAGGGAAAGCTAATATAAAGTCAAACATTTTAAGAACAAAGCTACCCCTTTCCAAACCCAACAGAAATTCTTGCAAAGTTGTAAAAACCAACATTGACCATATAAAAATATTTTAAAATCAATTAACTAGCTTACTTGTAAAGAGTAAAATGGGGAGCATTACAAGCAACTTTTAAGGATTTGAAGTCTAAACGCACACTGTAATTAATTAAACATTCTCAAAGCCACTTTTGTAAGCACTGTGTGCTATGCGCGCGTCAGATCAATCCGATAAATCATTCGTCCCGTTGACGCATGCTCGTTTTCAATGGGCCGACACCTCTATTTCTGACACAGAGATTGCCCATTTCTTTACACCAAGTTGATAGGTATCTAACCCCTTTCAAAATTTTCTCCCAGACTCAGTGTGGTCTCTATTTCAATTCCTCATTGGTCAACGCAAGGATACACATTATTGGCGGTCAAACCCCATGATTAGGCCATTGCAATGTTTGAAACAATTATTTTTCCAATACACCCTCTTACTTCACTCATTCCATTAGCATAAGTGAATTGATATTTACTTAATGCATTTCTGGCATTACTCAATCTTCCGGGCTTCTCTTCCAAGGGGTTGATACGGTGTTAATTCTAATACTTACTATTAGTAGAGTTGTTGGCGGGTATTGTTTAAAATACGGCAAGCGAAATCGCGTGCAATCCAACCAATGATACCCCCAAAAGGAACAACATAGCAGCATTTTATTGGTTTATAACAAATATTGCCTACTTTGACAAAAGATAACCCTTACACATTACAAGTTGCGTGCAATGGAGGACCCGTACTGTCCAGTTAACACTAGGCCACCTGTGATTGAGAAATTAGTAGTTCGCTTCCAAGCTCCCGGTAAAGAAAAAAACAACGCTATTTGATATACAAAATCAGAAGACATATTTAATATGACCTTATTTAACAAGCGCATTTGTTGCTCCGGGAGTTAAAGCTACTGCGACTTCTTTTTGCGACCACTTGATTTGCTTATTTCGGTGGGAGATGAGGGGAGAAAAGTTGATGATTTTATGGACGAGAAGGCCAGGCCAAGGAGAATAGTAGCATGACAAATATGAAGGGTCAGACTGCTAGCCTCTGTCGATGGATAGACGTTCCAGGACATCTCAATGAGCCCAAAGATGAGGAACCTGTGTAGAATAAGGAGATAGAAAAAATTGAAAACTGAACACAGAAAATTTTGCAATGTCGGGCGAAACCCCTTAAATAAGCGGTGATCAATGCTAAAGTAAAACACTCGTCAGTGTGTTCAGGGAGAAATACAAAGAAAATCCGTCCGTATGTTGTGACTTTATTAAGTTAAGTGGTTAAATGGGAAAGGGGGAAAATAATCCTATGAGAAAGATGAATACCAAACTATTGAAGTACGTAACTCATCTGTTTTGTCGCGTTGTCATGCTTTAAAATTTAGCAAAACCTACGAAAACACATTGTTAAAGTGGTGAGACACAATATACGAAAGAGTGAAAATAGCAGAAATAAGGAATATTAACACTCATGCTGAATAAGAAAATGCTTTCTTTGTTACGCATTGATTTGGCGGTGGTCTAAAATGGGTGATCAAGTGAGAAGACTCTATCAGATATACTCTTTTTAAGAACTCACTCCAAATTTAAATCATTGACGAAAATGAAAAGGGAATAAACGACACGAGGGTTAGATAAGGTAACAAGAGAATCGTCAACCGATTATCAACACGCATACGACTTCGGTTTCAATTCAAGCAAGTAAATACAAACGTAATTGCGATGATCACGGAGTTGCATAGACGAAATCCAAACAAATATGGTTGCGATTCTAACTCCTCAAATAAAAATAGGCGCCCCAATAAGAAATAAGAACAATAGTGCTATTTGGTTTTAAATTATTCAAAAGAAACAAAGTAGCATAATAATTACCACAATTTGCCTTTACCGTGTTTCAATCCCTTAAAAGAGTAACAACTGATGTCCTGGAACTAAGATATTCATTCGAGTGGCCTTCGATTTCGGCCGCATTTTCGAATCGTTTTAGTTTTTCCTTAACGAATGCTCCAAACCAGAAAAGATGATAATAGAGAAATTCGAGGTCTGGCAAATGTGGTGAGCGATAGAATACACCAATTCTATTCCTTAAGCCTTTTGAAGTCGTTCTAGCTTGAATGGGCCAGCATTGTAGTATTGAAGAAATAACCTAATTAAGTTAAATAGACTTGAGCGTTTATTTTCATTTTCAGGTCAAATCGTCTCCATTGTTGACAAAATCATTTGTCCGTAACTGGTTTGCTCACTTGTTGCAATTCTCCAAGATTCATTCCACCCGAAGACTATCAAATATGAAGTAGTCTCACAAGGTTTAATCTTATCCTGACTTAAGTGATTGAATAGTTGTTTGATTTGGAGACATTCGTTCATTCCACTTCTCGACCTCGGTAACAACTTGGAATAAAATTAACAAATCATCTGTTTCGACAACAAAGAAGAGCTCACGTTTCTCCACACAACTTGACTATATGGGGAGTGGGTGTGGCGACGTCCAAATCTCCATTTAATTCAATTAACCAGTGCTTTCAAGTAGAGTTACATAGTTGACCAAGGACCTGATTCAACCGAGGATTTTAATACATCAACATTAAGGCTCACAGATTGCCCCTCATTCAAACACATCATGAATTTCCTGTTGCCTGATTTACATCCTTTAAAACTGAATAGACATCGCGAACTGCAAGCACTTGGGTATAAATTACAGTAGTGACTTCAGCGGCCCTGCACGTGTTCATGCAATTACGAAAGAAAGACAGCATGCAATGCCTGAAACGTTGTTAACCTCCTTTGGGGTTGAATACTTTTGCCCTTAACAGTAAATTGAACTTTGCTGTTTGTAAGTAGTAGTTATGAACAATTTGTCCACTGACAGAACAAGTTAGAGTTGCTCCTTTCTCAAAAAGAACTCGAATAATATTATTGACAAGGTATCAACTTTGCAATCAATTAACGCCTACGACTGGTCAAGCAAAAGTTACTTACCGAATTGGATTCGTTAGGGGAGTTGCAGACCACAAGAGAAAGGGAATAGTGTGGTAGTACCAAACATAGAACTGATAATGCAACGACCGACTGCATGCGAGTCCAATGAAATTGGACACAAACATGGGGTAAAGAACATCTACAAAACAAAACCGAAAAGAAAACAAATATGTGTAAATTCGCCAAAGTGTAGACAAAAATTTGGAAAATAAAATAACTTTACAAAAGCAATATTTAAACATTTTTTCATTCTGCTATTATCGAAATGACAACTGACTCTTATGTGCAATTAAATCGATTACACAGTTCGTTTTAAATGGGAAAAAATGTCGCTGCGATAAGAACGAGTTTATCTTCTTCTGACATGCAAATTATAAAAAAATTAATATTATTCAATCACCCTCGGGATTGACTCGTTGCTTTGCCGGAGGTGCCAAAGGCTGGAGAAATGCCCTAAGACCACCTTGAGACCTAGAACCGACAAATTTGAATAGAAATTTCGCAAAAGAAATCGGTAATCAACAAGCACGTGTTAAATATTACCAAATATACTTCAATAGGAAAAACGTCAGCAAAGTGACATGCAGAGCAAGAAGGGCTAACTGAAAGCGACGATCAAGAAAGAGGGACTCCGGAACGAGCCTCCAATTTACTGTCCATTTATACATAAATTGCCGACTAAATTCAAAAGCACGGCCAAAGTAGGCCTCTGAATTGCGGAATAGGAAAATGGCACCCAATAAGACTTGGACTGAAGCGCACTCAGCCAAGTGGCCGATGGTTTCATAAACACCGCGGTTTTTGAGCAGAACAAAGAGAAATCCAGGAGCAAAAAGCAAAATATTCATTTTAACACCAACAGCTAGGCTAAAAAACCAATTTTATAAAACACCAAATTACCTGAAAAGGATAGAGGCTAAACTGAAATAATTATACAAACACAAGTTAATAGAGGAGTAGAGAAAGAACATTGACCAAGTGTCATTGAAAAGACGAAGTAAGTAAATAGAATGAACTCGATAAGAAGCGAACGACATGAGAAGAATGGGAAATAAGGGAACCTGTAGGCGAAAATTCGTAACATACTCGATACATACCTTTTTAAGTTTATGATAAATATTGAATACAAGCCCCAAGGTTATCAGATATAAAGATGCGAATATGCACTGAGCAACAAATACATTTTTACCCTTATTTGTCAGTAAATACAAAAGTGAGTAGATATAAAGATGTCCGGCAGGATATCTAGAATTAATCAATTTGTTAATTATACTGTAATCTACTCACACACAAGGCCCAGTTTGACCAATAAGCTGATCGTAATCTCGGGTTCCATTAAGAAATATTTCAACCTGTTGCATATAAGCAACCCAGTCAATTTCAGTATCTACAAATAATCTAACTTAACTACAACGTACACGCAATTTTGAATAAAACGAGAACACTAATTACTGCATCCATAACCCATGCAAATGGTAATAAAGAACTGAAAATTGGTGGCGAGAGAAGGCGATTCATCCCCCTCGTTAAATAATTATCCTTATTTGTCATAGCTTCACAAAAACAGGTGATGATAGGCTAACTTTGCACCTTTTCCACAAACATGCCAAATACTACACAGCCAATGAACGTGAGAAAACGTGATCCCAGCACATCATTGACTTAATATAAAGCAGGTTTATAATGAAAAATTTCATTTGGATAAGCCAAAAATATTATACGATAATAGGTAATATTTGCCATAATTTAAATAAGTATTAAATAAATAAAAATACCACCTAATGAGTTACAAACTCGGTAAAATTAATACATTATAAACATATTAATTTACTTCTTTATTCTTCATTTTAATTTCAGATATTTAATGCAAGGCGACCTATTCACAAGACTTCAATTTCAAATTCTCCACAAAACTCCTACGTATAATTTTGCGCAAATGTCTCTAGATTGGGAAAATTGATGAATTTTGTTAAATTGCTTCTGATTTGATACTGGAATATTTTGGTTATTTTTGATTTAGAATTTTCATTATAACATTTCCAACGAATTAAATTAACTACAACTTCGGCATTTCAAAATCGTTGTTCATTTTACATACAATGTCTCTAAAGAAGTAAAATTAGACCAAATCGCATTAATATTTGACTACTTTTCAAAATTTGATAGTTTTTTTCAACCTTGTAAAATGCAATCTGTATTATGAAAAAAACGCTACATTTCGTGGGTTAAGTTGCATCGTTATTGCAAGTGGGAGGGAAACCTAATGAGTTAATAAAGAGCATGGAGAGATGGAAGAGTAATACTGAAACTTGTAAACTTAAATTGAGCCAAAAGAACTAAATTCAGATTTCCGATGAAAGACAGAGAGAAGAGTCGACACGAGGAATGAGCTACGGGAAAGATAAAGCGAAGAAATTGCTAATGTTTTGATAATCTGTCTGGAAGAGAGTAAAAAGGTCGACATTTGACCAATGTAAATAAGTGACCAATGTTTTATTCCATATCCTGTTGCAGATTTGGTACAATTTGGAGTTTTTTTGCGATTGCGTTGAATTGTCATTAAGATTATTGTAGAAGCCTGAAAAAGTGTTTACGATAAGCTATCGATGGCTGTGCTACTTCACATGTTTGAGCTGTCTGATGACAATTTCAGTCGGGTTTAAGATCAAATCCAAATCTTGATTTTTGCCTAGCTATTTTGACATTTTGGAAGAATGATTAAGTTAAGCCTTTTTGCTTAATATCCACCAATATTTTAAAACTATTTGAACTAGCCAGAGATTCCCAATTTAAATTGTGTTAAGATTATCTATGCCATAAACTATACCATTCATACTTAGCTTACTGTGTACTTAATGACTCCTCTAGGGGTGGTTATCATTGTCAGTAACTAGTTAGAACTCCTAGTGAATCTATGGTCTTAGTGCTTTGTGTGTTACCTACTACAACGGGACAATACCAGCACGTTTACAATATTTCTCAGTAACTAGATTGCACAGAAACCATATCACCGTGAGTGAACTCCACATTTGAAACCGTATCAAACACGTGTAGATTGCTTGAGATCACATGAGTCAAGTACAGCATTTCTAGGAAATTGTAAGAATAGCTTATCAGTAGAGAGGTGGGTTATCATAGCAAAGCAAACGTTCAATAACCACGATCGCGGTTGATGCCAACAATAAAAATACCAATTTTCTGCTTTGCTGAGAAGTATAAATAAGAATGCAAATTTTTTCTTTCGAATAGTCAGGACGAAACGGTCAATAGAATAGGGACAGCGTTCAATTTTTTAGAACGTTCCCTATTCAAAAGAATGAATTTTCTACATGGGATAGATGCTGCTATGAAAAGATCTTTTACTTATTTCTGTTAGAAATATCTAAACAAATATTTAATCAAAAATTCTTAAAGTGATAGAACTTATAGGCTATCTTTTCAATATTTTCAGATAACTTGCTTCGCTTCGCAAACACCACGCAGTTAAGCCAAATGGGTTTACCAAATGGACTCTAGAACCCAAATTATCTCAGCAAACGATTTCCGATAGCTCTTAGATCCAAAAAATCACTACTACTTTACTAATGTTGTTGAATGAGATTGAAGAGGCATATTTCATGCTCCGATAATTTGTATTTATTCGATAATAAGGTATTTAACCTGTTACCCACACAGTCTGGCTAATTATCTATCGGAGGGCATAATTATACTAAGCTATCAACTATACAAACGTCAAATATGATTTTAAGCCGAGATGACAATCAAGGTATTAGCAGCACCTTTGATAGATCACAATTTGTTCCAACAAATTGTAGTGAATATTGGTTTAATATCCTTTGTAAGTATTTGTAATCTTCTTACTTTAACAATTTCCCTATTTTAGTTTACCGGTGCATATATGATTGTGTACTTCTCCATCAACCTTACTGACTCCACAATCCCTGAAAAATCCCAAACATTTTATTGCTTTTTGATTGCTAATGACATTTTGGGAATGATCATCGCTTTGGTTGGATTTTACGCCTACTCCCTATCAATTATTGTTTCTATTTGCATTGCAAGTACTTCGAATTTTTCTACTTATTCCTTGTAGTACCTAGCCTTGCTTGGTGTTGTACTGCTTGGGCAAATTGTGCATAGAGTCCTTGTAGTAATTCTTCTCCATGATTTCGTATGTGATATTGTCTTTATCATTTTTGGTGTCCTCGGTTTACCTGCGATTTCCGAGTCGTTGATCTTTTTTTAAATTCAAAGAGAAAGGAATCGGCTTGAATAAAATTGACTTAAAGTATTCGTAAATTGATATGATTTGTTCAATAAAAACAAAATAAATGCCAGTGACTGCCAATTAATGATGAAAGTGAGCCGAAATTTATTAACTTTATTAATTATTAACTTTAAGCTTTCAAATTCAATTTCGATCAATGTTTTAAAATTACTCAGCCGATTTTATTGATTTGTGGGTGTGCTCTAATCAATTGCGGCCATACACACTATATTACTTTCATTAAGCTAATCCTAATTGTCTGGAATCACTACAGTTAAAAAATGTATTCTAATTGATTCCTTAACTGAAAACCCATTTCTCAAACTTCGATTTATAATGATTAATATTTGGTATAAATAGCACAACATGAGAAATCGTTGAGTAACAATTTTCCATTTTGTGAGGCCAGTCTATATATTATTACTATTGGCTCAATTAAGTAGTTAGTTATATTTGAAGATTAACCTATTTCTTAAGTTTCAACTGAAACCCTGGATTTCAAATGCACTTCTATAGAACTGTCAACCCAGCAAGTAATTACGCCAAACTTTGCACATCTAGCGTATTTTAGAAATGACAATACACTAAAGGGACTGAAAGATGAATGCTTTCTGAAATACTTTCTTGTCAGTGTCATGAATCCACTTTTTCCACCTTTGTGTCTGTCTCTTTTATATCTTTGAAACACTCTTCTGTCCCCCCCCCCCCCCCCTCGACTTTTTCACTTTGATGTTCCTTCCGCTCTGTGAAGCCTGAAGTCAACCAAAGGGCTAATGATAACTATCAAAACGCCTGCCATTTGATATAAATAAATAAATTACTGCTCAGTAGATATTGGTCATACGTGCCCTTGATTAACACATGCTTTACCTCCAGTGAATTTGATAACTTGGAAACGTATGTAATACTTACTGCTTTTATAAAAGTACCATATAGTTAAGAAAACTTAAAATTTTGTTTTTTTACTTGAAATACACAAAGCTCAGATGAATTTGAATTAACAGATCACAAATGCCATTTTACTTGAACCTCATACTAAAATTTTTCCCCCCTAATTTAACCCAGCAGTGCTAACAATAATGTAACCTCGTCAAATGTGTCTCTTTATGAATAAAAGAATACGAAGAAAAAAAATAATCATTCTTTAGTTTGGATTAACCCTGCATGAACTTATGTAGTAAATTCTGGTGAATTTAAAAGCCGTCGATAAACACATCTGTGGGACACGTTATCGCTCTGTGCGTCATCGTATGTCTGCATGTCTGCTCGCCAGGATTGGGAGGTGCGGCCGTACAACTCTGTGTGGAGCGACCGTACAAACAGTGACCAGTCATCAACCTCTGTTTAACCTAATCCCCCATCCTGATTATGAGTTGCTCCCTGTGTGTACACTTCGCGATCAGTATACGTACTGAATAAACGTACTCCGTGCTACGCCTGACTTTCGAGTTGGAAGAAACTGCTATAGAGCTTTCTGAGAATGGTCAAGGTTATTGAGGTAGCGAATCCGCTACACATCTTCATGAATGAAGATTTGATGTAAAAAAGTAAGAAATCAATCAACAAGCAC